CCCGTCTTTGCCGGCAATACTATCTGCCTAAACAACCAGGTGTTACGGCTGTCATGGCCTCTGGCGGGGCCCAAGGCAGAGCGGGACCGATGAATCCTGCTAGCGGTCGGGTGAACTTTCATAAACGAATATCCCACAGAGCATTTGCTTGCCTTGTGAAACAAAAATGTCTCACAATTTCACAAAATGACCACAGGCGACATGCTTTTCGTTCATCCTTATCAGGAAAGCTACTTAAGAGGGTGCTTTTCTGAAAAATTGTCAAGCATTTAGAAATTCAGCGTTGGTTTGCTAAAGCTAGACATTGATAACGTTAACAGTTGCAGTAAATGGGATGTTGGCGACACCCATCCGAACAAAATCTCGTTTCGGTCAGAGAAATTTACTTCACGCATTGAGTGGAAAAGTAGAAAGAGTGGAGTTAATATTTAATTTTACGTGCAAAATGTGAAAAAAACGTCATAAAAGTCAGCCACTAAATGTGATGTCTTACCTGGTCGCAATCTATCCAATATCGTAGATACACAGCCCAGTTCGTAGACTTTAACTAGAAGATCCAGGGAGTTCACGGTTGCTTCGCTCTCCTGCCTGTCTGAGGGCTCAAATTCGATACAGCAGGGCGTATACGGACGAGTATGCGGTTCTCCTGAAAATTTGAAATATAGTTTGCTGGCAAATGAGCCCTCAGAAGCCGAAGTTTGCTCACGAACACGTGCAAACAGCACAGTTTCGGGACTGCAACGAAAGGGCAACATTTTAATGCAGAATCCCTTTAGACGGGGCTAGGTCTGAGATGTATAACATCAATTTTTGTGCAAAAATGTCACATTAGACAGACGGCGGTGCCGACGACACGTTATGACCAAGATGCAACTGGTCAGTGACCTCAGTCCCTGCTACCTACAAGGTAGTATGCAATAGCCATTTTCTCGTAACCTGTTTCTAACCTGCTAAGCCAAACGGTCCTACTAAGTGAAAAATGGTGATCACCTATGTGCAGACAATAACAGTACTATGCGGGGTCAAATCCCCGCCGTACGCCGCGAGTTTTTTTCACAATTGGGTCAACTTAAATTAAGCAAAGCTGCCAAACCTCCTAAAAAATAAGTCAGCCTAGTAGTCATTCTGGTGGATTCTAAATAATTGCCTAGGAAATCCTGCTTGGGCAGTCAGCTTGCTGTTCCATAATGGTGGATTCCATACGAGCGGTAAAGTTGGGCGGGTAATATTCGACCCAAGTGTGATTAAATTCATGGCGCAGGCGTGGTGTTTTTAGCTCAACTGGGAGAGCATTGGCTTCGCGCAAAGGCCTTCTGTACTATGCGGGTCCAAATCCCGCCGAACGCCGCGAGTTGTTTCAAAATTGAGTCAACTTAAATTAAGCAAATCTGCCAAACCTCCTAAATAAAAAAATTACAATGTAGCCTAGGTGGACGCGCAACTCCATCTACGAACATTCCAGGTTACGAGCAAACCACCCGCGGAAATTTTTTTTGGATTGACGAGCTTCGGCTCAGTTAGCGGGTTGTCGGTGCGTATGTGTACCTGTTTCCGCTGTTCAGTTTTGCTTCCAGGGCGTGGGTCCTCGGTCGCCTGCAGCCAATCAGTGAACTGATGCGGTTTGATTGGCTACCTTTCTCAAGACAAGCTTTTCACATCACGAGCTCGGTGCCAGAGCAGATTAAACTCGTTAACCCAGGTTCCCCTGTAATTACCATTTTATTGGCGGGGTCTTCGTACCAGCTGTTGATGTCAATAGCGGCTTGTCCGGCAGCTTATGCTGTAGATATAATCCCAACAGGCAACATATCCCTCTAAACTTCAAATAATGAAGTGACCAAGATCGCACTGTACCTATAAGAATTGTGTGCGCTCTTAGCGCTGAAGTACCAGGAAGGATCCTAGGTGTAACTTGGGTCTCTGACAGCCAAGATCGTCGTTAGAGTTTCGTAGACGCACAACAATATACGTTCAGTGAAGACCGTTCACTAGTTCTCTTCGGAATGTCCGGATCCACATCTCACTGGAAAGTACGTGCGCGCTGCCTACCTACTAACAGTATGTAGTCAACAGCCTCCAACCGCTGGTTGCAGCTACAACCCTCCCGTAGGGTCGGATTTGTCCATGTCTGCAAGAAGTTGCTCCGCTTTTCAATAATTTTTTTTCTTGCGGCGGATTGGACAGAAGAATGGCCAACCTGAACGGGATGCCATGCATACGTGCAGCTTTTCCAGGAGAACGACTTGCGGATTTTAAATACATTTTTTTCTTGCCGTCGGTCGCACACGTTCAGTGAGGATCGTTCATTCATTCCACATATATTTACTTGGTATTTTAAACAGCAATCTAAACGCGCCATTCAAGGTATCACGTGCCAGATTATCTCAAAGTGGTTAGAGTACAGTAGAACAATATCTGTGCATTAAACGAAACACCCTGTCCTGTCCGTAACCACATGCTTTTTTGTACTGGTTCCCGTTAGTCGATCGTGAATGCTCACAGAGTCTTCTCAAGACTTAGAAACTGCTTGTGAACCGGACGTGATATTTCTATTGCTATGAGGGTTTGTGCGTATCGTGCATCCGTTCGGTCTGTCCTTTTCTGGGGCTGTGACTGCTGGACAATGCGCGTGGAAGATGAAAGAAAACTGGAGGTATTTTAACAGTTCTGCTTCAGGACTATCCTTCGAGTGAAGTAGACCGACTTTATCTCAAAGGAGTCAGTACGCACTCGCTGCGACGAAATCGCAGGGATATCCCAGTTCATTCAAAAAGACGACCGAGGCGGTTTGGACACGTTCTTCGTCGTCCGTCTCAGACGCTCAGTGTTACTAACCTCCACTCGACACCAGTACCCAACTGGAAACGCCGAAGAGGGGGTAAGCTCAAAATCTGGCTCGACTCAGTCCGTAGGACATGGAATTGGTGCTTGAGCCTTCGGTATTCGGCCTCTAGCGTTGACGAAGAGAAGAGATTGAACTTACCAGGTTGGTTGCCACGGATCGTTACGCGTGAAGAAGTACCGCCCGGAACATCATCGAAGCCGGCTAGATCAGTCATGATCGCAACTGCAACACTTGCAATGCCAATATATGCAGCAGACATCGAATGAGGTGCGCTTGCAAAGAGAGAACGAAGGTAGATCGCCAGCTGCGCTCAGTCTGAAATCACGCGTCATAGTGGGGGCGAGCAGAGAGACTGCGCAGGAGTAAGTCAGGCCAGTAAGGATCCTTATCAGAGAAACAGTATTGCCTTGCTACCTGTGTATGTATCTGACTGGCGACTTAGAGGCAACTATTCAGTGGATTGTACCCTTGTCCGGATAATTCGCTCCGTAAGGTACCAGGGTTCATCGGGCTAGGCCTCCTGGATAAAACAGACTGTCAAGGAGATGGGATTTGTGAAATTGAAGAAAGTAAGGACAGCTCAACATGGACGTGAATCGTCCATGAAACTGTCGGCTGAGCTGAGTTTTCGGATGGAATCTGTCTCGAGAGTCAGTAGTTCTCTATTTATCCGAAGACTAATGCCACCACAAGCAACACG